GGTAGATCAGTCCTTTTGACGTAAGTAAGAGTAGCTCTGTGATAATTATACCAGTTCTAGTTGTTGCGAAAGTCAGACGCAGTTATGTTAGAAAGGATTCTTTAGTGTATACGGGTTCTTTTCTTTCTCTGTTTTACTTAATTTCGAATCCAAGTTATTGTTATTTGTATACAAATATGCTTGTGTCGTATAGTAAAAAAGTCTGACTTTTACGTAATTATTATTTTCTTTACAATTTTACAGTTTCAAGAGCACTTAAGGTTTTGTTTATTACATTTATAAGAGAATTCATCAACGTTTTCGCAGTGTATCATTCTTAAATTTTGTATGGGAGTGTTTTTATACCCGAGTTAACCTGATTCAACTTCATAACATTAAAAAAACGTATCTAGTTATACATATTTGGTGTAGTACTATAGCGTTAATTTTGTTATACGTTAATCACAACAGATAAAAAAGCCTATAAAACAACAAACAATACAACATATTTAAATAAAAATTGCAAAATGATCATGAAAAGTAACAAAAGATATCGTAGAAAAGTTAATTTGACCTTGTATACAATTAAAAAAATGGAGAAAAAGAAAAAGGTATAAAAAAGACAGAAATGAATAAATAAACGAAAACTAAATGATGCATCATTGCAAGAGCTAGTCATAAGTGTTCAAAAGATAGAACAATCAGGGCTGTTCTAGTGTTGAAATACCCTTAAATGTTCTTGGGTAGAACTATCGGATCATTTTCTTTGTTAGAACTGTCTAGAATTGTTTTAGGTTAAAACTGCTAAAATATTCTAGGGTAGAACCGTTTCTATCATAAACTGTTCTTAAGGTGTCTATGAGATAGAAAAATAACAGTTTATTATTCGTGCGTCCGAAGCGTACTACTGGATTTATCTTCATCAGGAACGCTCAAGCCCAAATTATTAAAAGCCCTGGATGTATGAAACCTAAACATATCAAGATCTAAATGACAAAAATGTCAAATTCGTCATAGGTCAACTTTGCCTGAGTGAATTGAAACTTTGTTTCTTAAGGTGTCTATAACAGTTGAAGTTAGAACTGATCCCAACTGTAAATGATTATTTTAAAGATTATTCATTTTGAACATTCATTGTTTTTATCTAACTTAATCAGATTGCCCTAATGGAACATTTGGTGAAAACTGCATGGAAAAGTGTGTCGGCAAATACTACGGCTTTAGATGTCAACTCGAATGTAACTGCTTTGACAATAATGAAACGTAGGTATTTGTCATGGTTGGGTTAATGCATTTAAATGGAAATATATGTCCCCTTATCTCTATTGAAATTAGCAAAAATATTTAAAGGGGTAGTAACAATTTACTTATAAGAGCTGTTGCTAAAATGAAAATCTATTCTGATAAATATCATGAAGACAGGTCAACAAATTGCATACGAAAAAAAAACTACCTGAATATAGTTTTGTAGCAAAAATTGAAAACTGCTTTTTATAAAATTGAAAAAACTAAAACTTCCTGCAACAGTGTATAATTCTTTTAAATTTTGATTGGATAACTCCTCTAAAATGTATTTTGCTAAAATTGCTATCATTGTTCTCTTGATTTTAGATGTAATAAGGCCACCGGCTGTGAGGAAATAACTAACGTTAATGGTAAGTATATAATGCAAATCATTAAAGGGGCACTAGTTGTCAAATTCATGTTCACCGATTTGACTCAAATTCTCAAATTTGATTTATAACAATGTAAAACATTTATCCAAATTATAAAAAGTCTAAAATAAACAATATACCGGGCATGGGCTCGATAATATGTAGCTTCGTTTCGTGTGTATTTTAGTCTAGACGCCATCTATTTAACTGTCGAGTTGACCCCGAAGATCTCCGATTGCCATATAAGCGATATAAACATAACTATAGATTTCAATAGATATCAGACTCGTGCATTTAGATTTTTCTATGTCTGTTTAATTTCATATTTTAAATTAAAAATATATGTTAATCATCGTTTTTACCTGTATAAGAATGATTTTTTGTGGGTCGAATCAGTCAATCAAATTATTTACCTTTGTTTCACTTTCAATGTTGACATTCTTTTCCTTTAAATAATTGAACACGCACAATGCATGCGGTATCCATCTCTAGCTAAGTGGTTAAATTGAAGTTCACATGAATATAGATTCAATGAGGTCGAATTATTCACTTGCAAATGAATAATTCATCATCAATGTTTCTTAGCTTATTTTGACAAAATTGAACCATACTGGCTGCTAAAAGCGATATATTATTTCACTATTTCACTTTCATAAATGATTGAAAAAAAAAATAATAATTTATATTTTTAATATAGCTAGTGCCCCTTTACATGTTTTAATGTGCTAACTAACTAACAATGAATTACCATGACATTAAACATACGTATAAATAAATTTTTGGTGACAACATTAGCAAAACTTGTTCAGTTAAATAATGCATTCATCACAGTAAAATATATACAGCAAGATCTATGATAGATTATCATTTTACATTATCTAAAAATTGTAATAACATTTGTTTCCATTTTAGATACAATTTTTGGTACAACAACAAGCGTTATAACGTCAGTAATTACTGTAACAATAGTAGCTATAGTGATTGCCGTTTTAATAGTTCTCGTTTCAAGGTAGGTAAATGTTTATGTCTTCCATTCCTCCATGATAACATCAAAGTCCACCCGTGAGAAACGTCTTTACTTATAAATGAAATAGAGTATACAAGTTATTAGGTTTTTTTAGGCGCAAATTAAAGTTACTCATTATACGTCTGTAACATTATATGAATAACACATAGCTGAGAGGGTGATAGAGCAGATTGTTACACCGAGAAAACATTGTCAACTGAGGCGAAGCCAAGGTTGACAATGTCTTTTCGAGTGGTAACAATCTGCTCTATCACCCTCTCAGATATGTGTTATTTAATTTATTATACTGAATGTTCTGTTATTACTGTCGATTAAATTTCAAATTCAAAGTAATAAACTATGACGTCTTGTACATAACAACAATCCGTATTTAATAAAGCGCACACTTGATCAAGCGTCTCCGTGAAGGGTAATAGAGTATTTGCCATAGGATAGAGTCGTATTTAATAAAGCGCACACTTGATCAAGCGTCTCCCTGAAGGGTAATAGAGTATTTACCATAGAATAGAGTAAATCAACACCCTCGTATAAGCCAATCAAAATATTGCATTTTTACGTGAAGTATAATAAAATACAATATTACAATTCAACACAACCTATGTGTATCATTTCTTACATTATGGGTACCTAATAGATCAAATCTATAAAAAAAAAAAAAAATGCGTTTCAGTTTGGTCGTATTTTTAAAAACAGTACTGTAGTTGAATAATTGCCACTAAGCTGGTAAACGGATATTTGCGACCGTCAAATCTCAGCTGACAGCGGCAATTCTTCAATTACAGTACTGTTATTCCTATTCATATGCATTACAAAAAGAAATAATACGTTAGAGCTTGCAAAAATGTATAAATGTTAAATAAGATAAAATTTCGCGAAACCTAATGAATGATTTAGGCGCATAAACGTCATGGCTTAACGTGTTACAAATGAAATAATTAAAGCTGAAGCTTAGTTATTTCTACAATTCAATTTTGGATTAAATTACATAAAAACGTCGTGTTTGGGGTTGTGTTGTTATTATGCCGATTATATTTTATTAATCGAACATTTGTTGATCGAAGTAATTCAATATGACGCCCCATTCCTTAGTTTCGATGGATTTGACGGTACATTTTAACCAATTAAAAATTTTTTTTTCATAAAAATTGCTTTGGAATATGCAATGGTATGTAACACCAAATCAAACACATGAAGTAGTGATGTTATAGATAAAAGACTTTATAAATATGGTTCAGTTAGACATTGTATGAGGGGAAATTGGCATAACTACTTTCACTAGTCACTATTAATTTCAGTTTAATCAACTTTAAGTACAAAATGCCTTTCCAATTGCAAATGATCTTTAGCGTTATAAGAATGTTATCTTCCTCGAACGCCTCATACACAAACACATAGAATAGGATAATTATTTATATAAGACGGTGTATAAAAGTATTAGCAAAAAATCCTACTTGTATGGCACTCCTTTAGTAAAAATAAATCTGTATTACTGTAGTAAATGTAGAGTGAAATACTCAATCATGTTCTTACATGTACACATCAATGGCTAAAGTATCTAAAGTACTTTCTATATATTTAAAAAACGTCAAGTTGAAGGTGGATTGATAGCTGATTATTCATTAATATACGTAACTTTCCAGTCAAAATCGCGGACTTGCAGCAGTTCAGTGTAATTGTTTTTATGTTAGTTAATTAAAACATGTTGCCATTTGG